ACTGAACCTCACTTTCCTAGGCGACATCTAGTGGGGGTTTCCGGTCGTAAACGTCAGCGTTTGTTTACGACCTAACCTATGCACGGTGTAAATAATGGCGCAGGTGAACCAAGAGCTGCTGCAGCGCTTCCAGCGGGCCTCAGTGGCAGTGAGCAGCGCGGCTTCAGGGGCCCCCGTCCACAGTGCGGTGTTGCAGGATGAGGAGCAGTCGCGCAAGCTGCAGGAGATCGTGGACCTGCTGGTGGCCGCCGGCTACTTCCGCGCGCGCATCAAGGGGCTGAGCCCCTTCGACAAGGTGGTCGGGGGGCTCAGCTGGTGCCTGGAGGCGCTGAGCGTCGACCTGGACGTGGACCTGCTGTTCCAGGAGAACGCCACCATCGGCCAGCAGATGTGCGTGAGTAGCCAAGCGCGCCCAATTAAGCCTCAATGGGGCGTCTGGTCCGCAGCGCCCTATCGGAGAAGATCGTGGCGGTGTTGCCGCGCGTCCAGTGCCCCCATCGCATCGAGCCCCACCAGGTGCAGGGGCTGGACCTGGAGCATGTGTTCCCGGTGGTGCAGGTGAGTGCGGGGGCTGTCCGCAACAAATTCGCTGCAACTGCGGTTTCAGTGGCTGGTGAAGGCTTCGATGGAGGCGCGGGAGCAGAACTGCGCCCAGATGCGCAACTACGCCCTGCTGCAGTTCCGCAAGGAGGTGCCCGAGTGGGGGGCGCAGCCCCCACACCTCCACATGCTGGAGGTGGAGGAGCTGTACAGGCCGCAGCGCCGGTTGAAGCGCAAGGGCCCCGCGCCCCCGGATGTGAAGTCGCGCGTCTTGGTCACGCTGCAGGAGTACGAGCCGCGGGGCGCCGCCCCCAAGCCCGAGCACCTGGAGGAGGTGCCGCAGGCCCCTCCTCTGAACGAGGCGGAGCAGGCGCAAGTGCGCCAGCACTACCAGGCCCTCTCCCTGGAGCTGCAGGAGGCGGCGCCCCAGGCGCAGCTGCTGGAGCGCTGCGCCCAGCAGCGCGCCGCCCTCCAGGCGCGGCTGCTCGAAGAGCAGCGCCTGCTGCAGGAGACGCGCGACTTGCAGCAGCAAACCGAGCGCGCCCGCGCCCAGCTTGACGCCGAGGAGCAGCAGATGGACCGCAGGTCGGTGCCCAATCGCCCACTTTGGTCCCTTCAATGCCAAATCCCCTATTTAGCGCCGTGCTGCGGGTGGAGGCGCTGGTGCTGCACAACGAGGCGCTCAAGCGCCGGGAGGCCGACTTCAAGGCCGAGTGCCGCGCGAAGCTGCAGGCGCTCCAGGGATCCCTCGCGTAAGCCCCCAACTGCGCCCCCTAGACTCTTACTCACCCTTCTCCCTAGGGCGGGGCGCGACGCCAGCGCCAGCGACATGGAGGAGCTGCGCCTGGGGACCCTCAAAGCCAGGCGGCAGCTGGCGAACCGCAACCGCACCGTGGCCCGGCTGCACCGCATTGTGGACGACGTGCCCTGCAGGGCGGAGCTCGCCCAGTACCAGCACCGCTTCCTCGACCTCTACGACCAAGGTACTGCAGCTACAAAGTAGGATAGAGGATAATGGGGCGTAAACTGGGTAAAACCGCAGTGGCGGCCAAGCACAAGGAAACCAAGCAGTACTACAGCCTGTACAACAGCCTGGAGGACCAGCGGCGCTACATGCGCAAGGAACTGGGGCTGCTCAACTCGGTGGCGGACAACTACCCGCGCGCCATGGAGACCGCCAGCGGCCGGGAGGAGTTCCTGCAGCAGCTGCACGGCATCGTCGACGGCCTCAAGCTGAACCGGCTGAAGCTGGAGCAGCAGGTGCAGGCGCAGCGCGCGCTGCGCGACCACCTGGCGGAGGCGCTGCAGCAGCTGCTCGAGCATCAGCGCGGCTACGTGGCCGCCGTCAACGAGCTGAGCGAGCTGGGGCGCAGCTACACCGCGCTGCTGCAGCTGCGCGAATAAAACGGGCTCTGCCTTAGAAACAACCATCGTTTAATTGCCCAACCTAATCTAAAGCAGGCGCCCCTTGCACTCCAGCGAGGCGCAGTGACAGTACAGGATGCGCCCAGGGACGCTCCCGATGTCGTAGTTGTAGTTCCAGGTGAGCTCGGTGCCTGCGCGGATGAACTGCAGCGAGAAGAAGGCGACCCAGGGGAAGCGCACGTCGTGCGTGTCCACGAACACGTTCTGCACGAACACGTTCGGCGAGCAGGAGTGCTGCAGCACGCCCCCAAATCAGCCCCCCGACCCAAACGGAAACCGCCCAACTTACGTTCAGGAAGCGGCCGATGTTGCCTGCGTTCTTCGCGTCCATGATGTAGATGTTGTCGCGCTCCTCCGCCCCAAAAAGCTCGCGCACCGACAGGTACTTGGCATTGCGCTCGTCCACCTCCTTGGCCATGGGGTTGAAGCTGAGCACCTCGCGCCCATCTGGAACAACCCCATTTATCAGCCGCCCGGTCGGGGGCTCCGCCCGCAGGCCTCACCGTCGTCGTCGTCGCTGATGGTGACGGTGTCCATGTCCTCGGTGGCCTGCTCCAGGGCGGCGCTCTGCGGCTCGGGCTCCTCCTTGCGCTTGCGCAACCGCGCCCTGATCCCCTGCGGGGGCAGCTGCTTCAGGACCTGCCCCGGCTGGAAGTCGTTGTCGTGCATGTACACGTTCCTGCCAAACGACCGCGGTTCAGCGCCCGGCGTCCCACTTTCGCCCGCTCCTACCGTTTCTTGGAGGAGGCCTTGGCCTCCTCCTCCTCCTCGTCCTCGTCGCGCTGGCGCTCCGGCTCCGAGCCCTCCTCGTCCTCCAGCGCCTCCTCCTCATAGTCCTCCTTGTACTTCTCCACGGTCTCGATGAAGTCCAGCTCGGCAAAGTACTCGTCCCCGTACTGCTTGCCGTCCTGTCAAGCCGCCAGGGTTAGGGGGGCGTGGCCCTGCGCCGCGCACTCACCTCATTGGCCGTCTGCTCGGTGTGCAGCGTGCCCGCGTAGATGCAGATGAACGCCCCCTGGGGGATGTCGTTCAAACACCGGATGCCCCAGCCGCGATTGTGCGTCTTGAACACTTGCAGCTTGAGCGACATCGGGTTCTGCGCCACCCGGTTCAGGCAGGTGGCGCTGCACTTGCAGCGCGCATTGCACTCGTAGATGCCGGTGATCACCTGTTCCTGCAGCCGCCGATAGATGTAGCCCACGGAGGTGGGCTCCACGTCCTTGCCCAAGTAGCGCAGCCCGTCCAGCGTCAGCTTCCAGCAGGCGCACTTCAGCTTGTCCTGCCATGGCCGGGAAAAGGACAGCACTCACATACATCATCCGACTGGGGGGGGAGCAGTACTCACCACGCAGTCGTCGTCGCAGTCGCACCCGCACAGAAAGTCCTCGTCCAGGTTCATGTGCACGCCCTCCATCGGCACCCGGCGCGTCGAGTAGTTGCAGAAGTCCAGCATGTCGTTGTTGAAGCCGTTGATCACCGGGATGGGCACCTGCTCCAACCCTAGACACGCCCACCCGGTCAAGCCACGCCCCCAGGGCCGATCTGCACTCACACTGAGACTCACCCGAGGAGAGATCCTTCGGATCAGGCACGCACTCGACGTTGAACTCGGCCAGGCAGCGCACCATGTGGTTGAAGTCGAACAGATCCACCGTCATCTCGCTCTGGGTGGCCTGCAGGTAGGCGTGGACCTCGCTGATGTCGCGCACCATGCGCCCGCAGGGCGCCTTGTAGATGATGGACTTGCGCCCGCGGTCCTTCAGCGTCATGCGCGCCCAGCCGCACAGCAGCGGCTTGCTGAGCGGATTGTGCCCGCGCAGCTTCACGAAGTTGTGCGTGATGTAGGCCTTGCAGGCGCTGCTGCACTGGTGCGCCCGGTACTCGCGCTTGGTCACCTGCTGGTCCCTGGGCGTAAAGTACTGCGCAGCCAAAAAAGCCCTGTTAATGGGGGTTTGGCGGGGCGAAGCGGGCGACTGACCATGATTTTGCTGGTGGGCCCGGCGGCATTGGGCGGCTCGGCGTTGATGGCCGTGGGCAAGAAGGGCACGCACTTGGGCGCCGGCTGGCTGACGCGGTTCGGGCGCGTGGTGCTCTTGCGCGCCACCGCCCTGGGCGCCTGGTCGGGCGCGGCCGGCTGCTGCACGTAGTCGTCGTTGCGCTTGTACTGCACCACGGTGGCGGACTCGTTCTGCGCCCAACACTTCCACATTATGCCGCGCAGGGCCCTGGCGCTGGTACTTACCGCGCCCAGCTTCCTGGGCGTGCGCAGCCCGATGTGGCGCGTGGTGGCCGCCAGCTCCTCCCTGAACATGGGGCTGAGGCGCGTCGAGCCGCGGTAGATCCACTCGCAGCGCTCGATCGAGTCGAAGTAGACCTGCACCAGGGAGCAGTCCACGCTCTTGACGGTGCACAGCCACCACTTGCCTGCAATGCGCCCAATTAGCCGTCACCCACTCACCTCGAAGAGGGCGCAAACACTCACCGTTGTACTCGACTTTGACCTTTTGCTGGCTGCTCAGCTTCACCATCGGCCGGTCCTGGCTCTCCAGGTACTTGCGGATGAAGGGGCGCGTGTCCTCCGGCATGTCCTCCCACACGTGCTCGGGCGCCTCGAAGATCAGATTCACGTCCGAGTGCTGCACGTACTGGGCGTAGCCAATGTCGAAGAATATCAGGTACCTGAACAGTCAGGACGTTGTGGCGGATGCGCCCTTTGCCAACAGGCCGAACGGATACTGACCGGAAGTGGTTGTTTTCCACTGGATGTTCGCCGACGACACCCGCATAATAGGGAACGGCGCGGGGGCGCTTGCCCTGGGCGACGGCGTTCGTTTCCTTGAACTGGGACAGCACTCGGGAGCCCACAGTGAGGCGCGACTTGCACGGCCCCAAGTAGGCTGTTTTAACTGGGTTTTAGCAACTGTCCACACCGGGAGCAAATGGGGCGCACTCACCGACGTATTTGCCTTCCAGGATGCGCTCGTGCTGCTGCTTCAGCTCCACCAGACGGTAGTGGGTCCTCTTGTAGAACTGCCCCTTGTAGGCGCTGCGCGCCGGAATGATCTGCTGCAGGCGCGCCTTGATCCACGACCCCAGGAAGTTGTTCTGCTTGCTGATGTAGTAGATGCCATCTGCGCACGGGAAACCCTTGGATTAACTGCCTCAACAATTGGGGGAAGGGCCTACCTACTACCGGAGGCGGTTTGTCCAGCTCCAAGCTGACTGGCAGGTCGACGGGCACAGTGGGCGTGGCCAGGGGGGCCAGCCGGGCCCCGAGCGCCTCCAGCTTGGCGGGCGCAGCCACGTCCAGAACCGGCAMGTTCTCCGGCCGGATCTGCAGCGTGGGGCTGAGCGAGAAATCGTCCAGGATCATCAGCCCCTTCTGCGCCTTGATCTCGGGCCGGAACTCGTTGTAGAGCTCGATCTGCATGCGGTCCAGAGTGCTGCGCACCTGCTTCAGCCCCTCACTCAGCTGGGCGCACTCGCTCCCCACCGACTGCGCCCGCGAGTGCAGGTAGGCGCGCTCCCGCTGCAGGTGCGACTTCATGTCCAGCCGCTCCATCGTCTCCAGCAGCACCGACTCGATGTTGCGCGTGATAAACTCCAAGTTCTCCTCACTGATGCTGTCCTTCTGCGCGTCGCCCTCCTGCCCCTCCTCGTCCGAGTCGTCGATTTGCAACGTTTCGTTTATAATCGGAAAGTCCACCTCAAACAGCAACTGGCCGGCCTGCAGGCTGGTGGCCAGCTTGTCGTTGTCTTCGACGGCGCGCCAATAACACGCCATGCAAATCTCCGCCTTGTGGCTGGACGACTTCTTCACCCTAAAAACCCCGCGGTTCAGCCCCCATCCACCTCCTGCCCAGCCCCCTTACCGGAAGTACGAGAGGCAGAAATCGGGGGCCGCCAGGAACTGGGCGCTGGCCCCCGCGCAGCCGGCGTTGATGCACCGGTTGGACCGCGGCTTTTCCACCAAGTCGATAATCTCCTTCGSYTGGGGCTCCGCCCCCGGCGCCWCCACGGCCTGCTCGTCGTCGTCCTCGATCAGAATGCTCTGCGCCTGCCTGAAAAAGCCGCGGGCGTCAGCCCCCAGGCSCCCACAATCCCCAGCACTTACGGCGCCTGCAGCTTGTCAGGGGTGCGCTCGATGATGGCGCTCACCGGCAGCGGCTCGTCAATCTCCATCGGGTCATCCACCTCGTCCATTGCGGCTAATGGGGCCCTTTACACCAAACAAACACTCCTAACCTTACAATGCTCGCCTCTGGCTTCACTTGTTTTGACTGTTGACTGCACAGAACATCCGCCATCAGGCGGATGTTCTGTGGTTGATGGCTCAAAGTTCAGGTTTGGGAATTTTCAGCCTGTCACCCAAGCACGCCGGGAATTAAACGGGGAAAAACCCCGTTTGGCCCCGACCAACACAATTCCTTCAACTCTCGGGCGCTGAAGCCCTACGCATTTATTAAGGGCACTGGAGACAAGGACAGCAACACCTCCAGTCGCAGACAGGTTGAGGTTAAGGCCACACAGTCTGCGCGGTTGACACTGGTTGACAAGGGGGCCCCCCAGTTACAGTGCAACAAAATGGTGAAGCTGGAGCTAGCGCAGACGCTGCGCAAGGGGTCGGGGCGCGTGTGGAACGTGAGCTGGCACCCCAACGGCGAGGCCCTGGCCTCGTGCGGCGAGGACCGCTGCATCCGCATTTGGGGCCGCGACTTGCTGGGCAAGTGGGGCAACAAGGTGGTGCTGACCGACGGGCACAAGCGCACCGTCCGGCAGGTGGCCTGGTCGCCCTGCGGCAACTTCCTCGGTGAGTCTCGCCTGTGGTGCGCCCCCTTTTACCCCGCTTTGGGTTGCAGCGTCGGCCAGTTTCGACGCCACCACGTGCATCTGGGACCGGCAGGGCGGCGAGTTCGAGTGCAACGCCACGCTGGAGGGGCACGAGAACGAGGTGAAGGGCGTGGCCTGGTCGCGGTCCGGCCAATTCCTCGCCACCTGCAGCCGCGACAAGTCGGTGTGGGTGTGGGAGGTGGCCGAGGAGAACGAGTACGACTGCGCCGCAGTGCTGCAGGCCCACTCGCAGGACGTTAAAAAGGTGGGTGGAGGGGGTGGGGCAACTCAGACCAGTGCAGCCAATGGGGTTGCAGATCGCGTGGCACCCCGCCCAGGACCTGCTGGCCTCCGCCTCCTACGACAACACGATCAAGCTGTTCAGGGAGGACGCGAGCGATGGGGACTGGATCTGCTGCGGCACGCTCACAGGCCACGCCTCCACCGTGTGGGGGCTGAGCTTCGAGGCGGACGGGCGCCGATTGGTCTCCTGCAGCGACGACTCCTCCCTCAAGGTCTGGCGGGGGTACCCGGCGGGGAACCAGGAGGGCGTGGCCGTCCCGGAGGGCGAGTCCACGTGGAAGTGCGTGTGCACCGTCAGCGGCCACCACTCGGGCACCATCTATGACGTGGCCTGGTGCCAGCGCACTGGTAAGGCTAAAAAGGGGGGCGAGGATCAGGACTGATGCGCTTGTTTTAGGGCTGATCGCGACGGCCTGCGGCGACGACGCCATCAGGATCTTCCAGGAGGAGGCGGGCGGTGACGAGCACGCGCCCAGCTTCGGGCTGGTGGGCGCAGTGGAGCGCGCCCACCAGCAGGACGTGAACTGCGTGGCGTGGAGCCCCACCGTCACGGGGCTGCTCGCCTCCTGCAGCGACGACGGCGACATCAAGCTGTGGAACGTGAACGAGGAATAAAGCGATTTTTTGAAGCCTGTGCGTTTATTGGTGGCCGGTCAGCGGATGGTCTGGCTCATGTGCAGCGGCGTCTGCATCAGCTCCAAAACCGCGTCTTTCAAGTTGGCGCCGCGCAGATTGGCCTCGAACAGGTCGCTGCCCGATAGGTCGCACTTCTGCAACAGCCCCCCACCCCCCAAGGTTAGCCACGCCCCCGAAGTAGCCGGCTGCACTTACCTCCAAGTCGGCGCCAGCCAACACGGCCGAGCGCAGATTGCAGTTCTTGAGGTTGGCGTTGCGGCAGTTGGCGATGCGCAGATTGGCGTCGCCCAGATCGCTGTCCTCCAGACACGCCCCCTTCAGGTTGACGCCCTCCAGGTTGGCCCCGCCCACCGGGTCGGTGAAGTTGCAGTTGCGCATCGAGGCGCCCTCCATGACGGCGCGCAGCCCCTTCACGCCCGACAGTTGCGCATTGTCCAGGACGGCGTGGGAGAGATCGGCGCGCTCCAAACAGCACCAGCTCAGATTGGCGGCCGCCAGGTTGCAGCGCTGCATGTTGGCGTACTTGAAGTTGATGGCGCGCAGGTCGAGCTTGCTCAGATCGGCGCCCGCCAGGTTCACGCCCTGGAAGCGCAGCACTTCTGAGTTGGAGCTGCGGATCAGCGCGTCGACGACGTCGCGGCGCGTGAGCGGCGCCTCGTCGCGACACTCGCGCGTCTCCAGCAGCATCTGCTCCAGCGTGGGGATGAGCGAGTCGAGGCCGAAGAAGCGCGCCTCGCCCAGCACGCCCTCGGGGCTCACGCCCCCGTCCAGCACCAGCTGGCCGCAGCGCAGGTAGTGCAGCAGCGGCGCGAAGTACTGGGGGCTGCGGTCGATCAGCCACGCCCCGTTCCGGTCGCGGCGGCTCGGCTGGAACTCGCTCTCCTGCGAAAACATGCGCGCCAGCATGCTGTGGGGCTCCGCCATGGTGAGGGTTTTGCGCGTGGTGCTGAAGCTGGTGCCCCCCACGTTCAGCGTCACCCACTCGTCCGGCGAGCAGCGGGGGGCGAAGCCCTCCCCGCTCGACACATGGACGGTGTCTCCATCGCGCAGGCAATCGCAGTCGGTCAGCGCGCTGCCGTCCTCCAGGAACATCCTAAGGGGGGCGCAGCCCCACAAGCTCTGCAGCAGCTGCTGGCAGTCGTCGGGCGACTCGGGCAGCGCCACTATCTACGGGGGCACATCGCTCAACACTGCGGTGGCGATTGGGGCGCAGCACTTACCCGCGGGCCGTCGGGGGCGCCGTTGCGCAGCACCTTCACTATGCGTCTGGTCGGGGGCATCCTCCAATTTCCTCTGGGGCCTCGGGGGCACTCACATAACGGCGTCAACTAACCTGCACTGCCCTTGACAGCTCTTGACACCTGCCCGTCCCAGGCGAGAAAAGCGAGACAACCTATCCAAACTTCTGGGGCTGAACAAGGATGCCAGAGGAGGCAGGCGGGTTTTTGATATTTCCCTTTTATTGGGGCCAAAAACTCACTAAAAATTTGCCCACAGCAATCGCCAATTAATTACTAGAATTAGAAGAACTAACAAAATAATTCGCCGATGGCTCTGACGCAGGTTGACAGTTGACGCTGTTGGCATGTTATGACAGGGGGGCACTCGAGTGATGTGGCCAAATAAACCAGAAATTGCCCTGACAGTAACTAGCAATGAGCGCGTTTAAGCTCGCATTTTACCTGGCGCTGCTGTGGGCGGGCAGCCCCGCGCTGGCCGCCCTCTCGGACAAGCGGCTGTGCATCGACCCGCAGTGCTCAGGTAGGTCGGCGCCCCGCCAGGGCCCCTTTCACTCTCCCCCGTCTTGCAGAGCTGATCGCCGAGGGCAAGACGCGGCTCCGCTACAACGGCATCGCGCCCGGGATGCTCTCCTTTGCCCGCGACGAGCCCGTCCTGATCTACAGCTTTGGGGGCGGCAGCCGCCCCGAGCTGATCGGCGTCGAGATCGGGGGGCGGCGCGGCTTTGTCAACGCGGACCATGTGGTGGAGACGCGCCGCCTCAAGAGCCCCAAGCTGCTGGTCGATGTGGAGGCTCCGCCCCTGCCCACCACCACGCAGTCTGCCTTCGAGATCGTCGATGGCACCCGCATCCCATTGGACCTGCAGGAGTTCACCACGGAGGCGCCCGTTGGGGGCCCCTTTCAGCCCACTGGTAAGGCAGCAGGCTTTGGGCTGGTTTGGGGTCCGTTTGGTTAAGTGCGCTGGTGTTTCAGAGCCTCTCGAGCAGCCAGTGGAGGCCGAGGAAGAGGACGACGATGAGGAGGATGGGGATGAGGACGAGGAGGAGCCGGTTGCGCAAGCACCCCCGGCTGGAATGGAGGAGAGTGCAGAGCGCCATTTGCCCCCAGCTGAGGAGGCTCCTCGGGAGCCTCCGATGCAAACCGTCAACGATTCAAGCGCCGCAATTGAGGAGCCTCCACCGGCACCAGTTGAGCTCAATCAAGTGCCTCCACCGGATCCCCTAAATGCTTCCCCAGAGTCAGTTGAGGAAGCCTCTCTTGTCAGTCAAGTGCCTCCTACACCGGAGCCAGTCAAATCTTCCCCGGAGTCAAATGAAGAATCTCCCCTTGTCAGTCAAGAGCCTCCTCCACCGGAGCCCCACAAATCTTCCCCAGAGTCAATTGAGGAAGCCCCTCCTGTCAGTCAAGAGCCTCCACCGGAGCCCGTAAATGCTTCCCCAGAGTCAGTTGAGGAAGCCCCTCTTGTCAAGAAAGTGCCTCCTACACCGGAGTCAAATGAAGAATCTCCCCTTGTCAGTCAAGTGCCTCCTCCACCGGAGCCTATCAATGCTTCCCCAGAGTCAATTGAGGGAGCCCCTCTTGTCAATGAAGTGCATCCTCCAGAGCCTCCACCGGAGCCCCTCAAATCGCCATCAGAGTCTACTGAGGGAGCCTCTGTTGAACCCCCTGAGGACGACGTCAATCAGCAAGTTCCTCCTCCGGAGCCTCCAGCGGAACCCTTCAATTCCTCCGCTTCGGAGTTAACTGGGGAACGTTCCCTTGAACCTGTGGAGGAACGGATCGATCAAGCGCCGCCTGCCTCCGAGACGCTGGAGCAAACTGTCACCGCTCATCCAGAAGAACCCGTCAATGTCACTGTCAGTGAAAGCCCCGAGCTGACGCTCAATGCAAGCGCGAGTGTTCTTGGGGGCGCTGCGGCGCCCCCAGGGGAGGCGACGGCCCCAAGCGAGGCGGCCGGATGGCTATTGAAGCGCCTGGGGCGCCCTGCCGACGAGGAGACGTGCGCCCGAGGCAACGAGACGCAGCAGCTGGACCTGCTGGGCGCCTTCACCACCGACATGTTCCTCTACTTGTCGACCACGGCGCTGGCCGTTCTGGTGCTGATTTTCGTGTGGGTGCTGCTGGATAAGTGGCGCAGGGCTGCGCCCCTGATAGCGCGCATCAACGGGCTGGAGCAGCAGCTGCTGGCCACCAGCAAGGAGAATGAGGCGCTGCAGTCGGAGCCGGCGGCGCAGCCTGTGGCGCAGCCCGACGATGGGCGGCTGGCGCAGCTCAACGAGGAGAAGCTGCAGCTGCAGGCGCAGGTGCAGGCACTGGAGAAGGAGCTGGACGACTCGACGGAGATGGGGATAGAGCTGAATCGCATCATCGGAGAGATGCTGCAGTCGTCGGACGGCAGCGACATTCTGAAGGAGAACATCGAGCAGATGCAGAAGCGGCTGCAGCAGCAGCAGGAGCTGATCGGCGGCCTGCAAGAGGGCCACGCGCTGAAGGAGGCGCAGCTGCAGGCCGCCCAGGAGCAACTGGAGCTGGTGCGGCTGGAGCTGGGGGCGCAGCAAGCTGCGGCCGAGCGCCAGCTGCAACTGCAGCAGGATCTGTCGGTAGGTAGCAGGGCAGCTGGTTGCGCAGCTTTGTGCTAACCCGGTTGTTTTAGGCGCAGCAACAGAAGACAGCCGAGCTAGAGCGCGAGCTGCGCACGAAAACGATGCAGTATGACGCGCTGAAGCTGAGCGTCAAGGATCCGCAGCAGGTCGAGGGCAGCGAAGCTCGCGCCCAGCTGCAGCAGCTGCAGGCCGACAATCGCCGCTGCGCCGAGCAGCTGAAAGAGGCGCGCGAGGCGCACCGCGACTGCCCTGCGCAGCTGCAGGCGCTAGCGGCGCAGCTGCAACAGCTGCGCGCCCACTACGAGCAGACCGAGCGCGAGAAGGTGGAGAGCTGCACCAAGCTGACCGTGCTCACCAGCTACTTCAAGGAGAAGGAGGAGCGCATGCTCAAGTAACGCCCCCTGCCGTGAGGTTGTGAGGAGTCAGTACTCACTCTAGGTATTTGCAGGGAAATCAGTCACTACGAGGCGCTGTGGTCGGCCAAGGAGGGCGAGGCGACGACAACGTCGCAGCTGAGCCGCCACCTGCAGGAGGAGCTGCAGAACTACAAGTGAGTGCGCAGTTTCTGAGTGGTGGGGACGTGATTAATGAGCGATTGGGGCCGCAGGGCGCAGAACGACAGCTTGAAGCAGGAGATCGTCAGCCAGGAGGTGGCGCTCAAGAGCCAGATCTCGCTGCTGGAGAAGCAGGCGCATGAGCGTTGGGTGGCCAGCCGCCAGGCGGAGCGCAAGCTGGAGGAGGCGCGGCAGGAGGCCGCCCTTTTGCGCAACCGCCTCACCCTCACGGAGCGCAGCCAACTCAGTAAGCCACCGGCATCCCACTCTTCCACTGTCATTGTCGTGCGGTTTTGCAGGAGTGCAGTCGCCGTTGCTGCAGAACGGGGAGCTGGCGCTCTCGCCGGACCCCGCCCAGTCGCCGCCGCCCCCACTGGCGTTCCTGCCGCCGCCGCTGGGCGGCCGCCCCTTCATGCTCCCGCCGCCGGCCGACATGGGGCTGCCGCCCCCCTTTATACCGGGCATGTTCCCGGGCGACCACCGGCCGCCGCCGCTCGGCCGGATGAGCTCGCCGCCCCCGGCAGGCGGCCGCTACAGCCCCGAGTCGACCGTCTACTCGGAGTACGAGCGCTACGATCGACGCAGCCCCTCGCCCCCCTACGACTCTGAGTATGGGGCGTCGCCCCCACTGCGCAGCTACAGCCCCTACGAGCGGGAGTACCGGCGCAGCAATGGGCGCCACCTGAAAGGTAGGGAGCGGGCGGGGATGCGGGCGTTGGTTGACCAGGGCTGTGTTTTAGGCGCCCCCAGCTCGGGGTCCGACAACGAGGCGCAGGGGCGCGCTGGGCGCAAGCCCCACCGGAAGGTCTAGCGCGGGGGCTGAGCCCCCGCGCGCGGGCTGTGCCGACGAAGCCAAAGCGCCATTTGCACTCGACGGGCAGATTGGCGGACCACCCTGTATAATGCGGTTTCTTGTTGTATAAAGTGTACAGGGCGATGATGTTGCAATACATTTACTTATGGAAAGTGGGGTTTTCTGGCGTTGGGGGGCGGGCGCGCCCCCTTGGCTGGCTGGGGCCGTGGAGGGCCGGCTGCAGGAGGGCGGCGGCGGCCCGCAGGGAGGCGGGCGACCACACCAGGGACAGCCCGTCGACCTAGGGTCGGTCCAAGTAGTAAAGGGCGGCCACAGGACGCGTGACTCACCTGGATGTTCTGGGGCGGCTGAGCGGGGGCGGCCAATGCCATGAGGGGCAGCAGCAGCCAGCACAGGGGCAGGCGCATGGTGGACGATCGCGGAGCGAATGACCCGCCGGTCTGTCGGTCATTCGCTCTGCTAGGGCGGGGAACTGGGCCAAAAGGTCAAAGCAGTAACCGGCAAAGCAAGTTTTTTGGGTTTTATTCGCTTTATTGTGCAAAGACGGTTAGATAGTTAGACGGTAAAAATGTTGATTTTTGACCGAAATTCGTTTCGACTCGATTTTGCGAGGAAATTGAAAAACACGAGTGGCAACATTGCAAGAGGCTGTTAGAGGCAGAAGGTTTTTTTTATTCAATAACGGATGAATTTTTGGTTCAGAAATATTGAAATTTTCGATTTTTTCTGTCGAGCGTTCCCGTTCTTGGTGCTCATTCCAGCCTTCCGGCAGTAGTTTGCTGTTTTTTTGGGCAACTGCGTGATTCCAAATAAATTTTCCATGTAGATGCCGATGCAAAAGTCCGGAGAAATTTTCAGTTTTTCTTTAGATTTTGGGTGCAAAGGGTCCCTTTGGACCAGTAAACGGCTCCTATGTCAACATTTGACCGTAATTGGACGTGGGAGGATTTTGGAAAATTTCGAAATTTTCCCCAACATTTTTCCGTGATTTTGGAAAATCGGGCAATTGCGGGCTTATCATTGGACCTAGCGGAAAAGTGAATACCGGCTGTTTTATGGCGCTTGACACGCTCTATCGACTGGTGCAACTGGGTTGCTTCCAGCTGCTCTGGTTGTGGAGATAGTTGCAGTTTTTTGAAAACCATGTTTTGTCCATTTTCTCGAAACCCATCCAGTGTGGAAAGCTGCCAACGCCCCAGTGGACAGGGCGTGGCCAGCCGGAGATTTTACCAAGAGCAACTTTTTTCGATAGGAATCTTCGTTTTCGAGAAAAAAATTAAAATGGGAAATTGCGAAAAAATCCAAAGGGTTTGACCCTCTGAGATTTTCGGCCAAAAATTTTTAATTTTTTTTCCGAACCATTACTTGGCAGGCGGTTAGATGGGGAAAAGTTGCACGGCAAATCGACTTTGGTTGGCTCGAGAAAAATTCCCCCTGGGATCTACAGGGGGAAGACGAAAAATTTTGTACAGGCCCTTATGGAGGGGAAATTTTCCAAACCGAATAAAAGCGTCAAATAACAATGGACTTTGTTGAAATTCACAGCGAATACTGCTGGGGGGGCGAAATAATTTTCAGCCAAAAATCCAGTTTTTCCTTTCAATGGTTGTCGATGTTGGGGCGCATCCCAACCGGGAGGGACGGAGACAACGACACGTCCAAAGCGCGACTGCTTTAACCGAAATGTTGCGCTTTGCAGGCAATTGATTATTGCAATTATTGTCAAAATTTTTAGATCAATTTTTCAATCGGCAATTGAATCAATTTATAGATTTTTAGTTTCCAAAATTTTTCTATCGATTGGTGCAACTGGGTTGCTTCCAGCTGCTCTGGTTGTGGAGATAATTGCAGTTTTTTGAAAACCATGTTTTGGCAATTTCCTCGAAACCCATCCAGTGTGGAAAGCTGCCAGAGCGCCAGTGGAGAGGGCGTGGCCAGCCGGAGATTTTACCAAGAACAATTTTTTTCGATAGGAAGCTTCGTTTGCCAGAAAAAAAATGAAATGGGAAATTGCGAAAAAATCCAAAGGGTTTGACCCTTTGAGATTTTCGGCCAAAAATTTTCAATTTTTTTTCCGGACAATTACTTGACAGGCGGGTAGAGTAGGTTGAGCAGCTGCGGCTGCGTCGAGATGCACAGCTTGCCGATCATGTCCTGCACCATTATTAGCCGCCGGCGGCTCCTGCGGGTCATTCGCTCCGCTGGGGCGGGGGAACTGGGCCGAACGGTCAAAGCCAGTTTGTTGTTTTTATTCGCTTTATTGTGCAACTACAGTTAGACGGGGCGGCAGACGCCGAGGGCGTCGCGCCTCATGTCGGGGCCGCACTGCTCGGCCGCCCCCAGCAGGCTCATCCCTTCGCCGCCCTTTGGCGTGACGTCGAACTCCTGGTCGGGCACGGTGAGCACGAAGGCCTTGGCGGCGCGCAGCCGCCGCCCGGGGGCGGCCTCCTGCGGGCTCTGCGTCGCCAGGATCTCGTCCTTGCGCAGGTGCGCGGCGCCCGCCTTGCTGATGTCCACCTGGTAGGGCGCCGCCTTCGACTGGATGAAGTGCGCCTGCGGGGGCGGGCGCAGGCCGCGCGTCAGCAGCTCCAGCAGGCCGCTGTGGGGCGCGCCCGCCCTGGGCACGATCACCACCACGAAGTTCTTGAGGTCGGCGCGCACGTTCCAGCCGCCCTCCTGCCGCTGGTCGACCAGCGGCTGCGTCTCCTTGGGGCGRCGCGCCCTGGACGTCACGGGGGCGGCCAGCACACACACGAGGGCGATCAGGGCGAGCGTGGCGTGCATCGCGAACGATTTGCGTCGAATAGTCGGCCAAGATGGGCGAATGAGAGGAGCAACGGTGATCGGCGATCGCCGATTAACGGGACACTGGATTGGCCGCGATAAGCCGGCGGGTACCGGGCGGCCCAAAAAAACCCCACTCGCTTTAATTATTCCAGTTTTATTATTCAGCATTGCTTATTCGCGCATCAGGCGCCGATAGAGCAGCTGGTCGGCGTGCATTTGCAGGAACACCCGGTACTTGCGGTCGTGGTAGGCCTGGAGGGCGGGGTCGGGCGGCACTGCGGTGCCGCCCCCGCCCATGGCGCGCACCGCCGCCTCCAGACTGTCAAAGTGCTGGGCGGCTGCCGCCCCCAGGATGGCGGCCCCCAGCAGCACGCTCTCCACCTCGTGGGGGCACACCACTGGCAGCTTGCACACGTCGGCCTGCGCCCCCGTGAAAATGGGGTTCTTGCTCAGCCCGCCGCAGATCAGCGTGGACTGCAGCCGGTCGTACCCCGCCTGCGTCAGTCGCTCCAGGATCTGCCGCGTGCCGTACTGCAACAGTCGGSGCCCGCTCAAAACCCCGTTGCGCCCATATATGCTGCGCCTACTCACCGCCAGCGCCTGCACCGTTGCCAAGTAGAGCAGCGCCAGGCTCTCCTCGTCGCTGGCCAGCGTCAGCCCGCTGATCTGCAACAGGGAAAAGCGTCAGACAACCCGCCAAGCCCGAGCGGGCGGCAACACCGACCATGCCCTTCAGGCTGGGGTCGGCCAGCAGCCGGTTGCCATGGAAATCCGGGTAAACGTGCAGCTCCTCAGTGAGCAGGGCGGGGCTGGCCAGGCCCCGCCCTCTGGCCATCGCCTGCAGCAGCGCGTTCAGGTACTCCACCATGTGCCTACAGGGGAAATTAGGCGAAAAATGTGCTTTTCGGTTGGGGGGCGGCAAGCAACTGACGTGTTTTCGGGGAGTTTGGCGCGGATTGCAGGGGCGGCCGGGTGCGTGTCGATGACGTGGTCCAGCAGCTTGCCGGTGGCGCTCTGGCCGCCCTCGTTCAGCCACAAGCCCGGCACCATGGCGCTCTTGTAGGGGCCCCAGACGCCGCCCACGAACACCGCCTCCCGCGACACCGCCATGTGGCAGGTGGAGGTGCCGCAGATCAGCGCCAGCCGCGTGTCGAAGGCGGCGGCCACGCCCTCCGCCTGGCAGCCAATCAGGCCGAGGCCGCCGGCGTGGGCGTCGATCATCGACGTGCCCACTGGCGTGCCCGCCAACAGCCCCAGCTCGGCGGCGGCGCGCGCCGACAGGCCCCGCCCTAGGGCGCGGTCTCAATCAGTATCCTCTCCACCTTACTTAGTTACGACTATTACCGACAGCGCTCCCTGGCGGCTGGACGTGGGCGCCGATGCGCCGCCAGCCCTCCGCCGCCAGCTCCGCCAGCCCGATCTGCTCGAAGAAGGCGGGGCTCCAGCCCTCCACGCCCTCCACTGTCATTTCGTACGCCCACTTGCACACCAGCGAGCAGGAGGACCTGGTTTTCACGGGCAGAGTTCAGGTGACTGAGTGAGTGAGTGAGTGAGTGAGTGAGTTACCGGGACTCGCATCCAGTGGCCCTCCAGGTGAGGAAGTCCGGCAGGTCGAAAAAGTGGGCGGCCGCCGCCCACGTGGCCGGCAGATGGCGCTTCAGCCAGAGCAGCTTGGGCGTCTCCATTTCGGGGAAGATCTTGCCGCCCACATAGTTGAGCACCGGATGGCGCTGCGCGTTGATAAACTCCGTCTCCTTGACAGCGCGATGGTCCAGCCACAGGATGACGTTCTGCGCGTCGCGCCCTGTCAACCGCCGTCAACTCAACTCGTTGGTTGGGGCCCCGCCCACTTACCCGTCGGGCTCACTGTCAGCGGCCGCCCCTCCCCATCCAGGCAGACCAATGAGCAGGTGGCGTCGAAGCCCACGCCCCTCACCTGGGTGGGGGGCACGCCCTCCACCACCGCCTGAAACAGCGCGATTAGACGGGATCAGCCACCCGGGAGGCGGGGGTACCTTGACGCACTCGACCACGGCCAACCAGATGTCGTCGCTCGATTGCTCGTAGAAGTCGGGCTGCGTGTTCCAGGTGCGCGTCGGTTTCGCGTGGATTTTCGCGATTTTCCCAGTGGCGCCCACTAGGGCGGCCCGCACGCTCCCCGTGCCCACGTCCACGCCCACGAAAAAGGCTTCCATCGTGCGCCCAGCTGCCTCGTCACCCATTTAACACGCAGTAGTCGAGCAACAACTGCCGGATTAATCGCACTGCAAGGTCGGCCTGATGATAATCCTGCTAAGGTCAGGGCGCCGATAGCATCCTGCTAATGTACAGGGTGACTCAGTTGWCGAGAAAAATTTTTATTTTTTATTTTTGGAAACTAAAAATCTATAAATTGATTCAATTGCCGATTGAAAAATTGATTTAAAAATTTTGACAATAATTGCAATAATCAATTGCCTGCAAAGCGCAACATTTCGGTTAAAGCAGTCGCGCTTTGGACGTGTCGTTGTCTCCGTCCCTCCCGCTTGGGATGGGCGCCAACATCGACAACCATTGAAAGGAAAAACTGGATTTTTGACTGAAAATTATTTCGCCCCCCCAGCAGTATTCGGTGTGAATTTCAACGAAGTCCATTGTTATTTGACGCTTTTCTTCGGTTTGGAAAATTTCCCCTCCATAAGGGCCGGTACAAAATTTTTCGTCTTTCTCCTGTAGCTCCCAGGGGTAATTTTTCTCGAGCCAACCAAAGTCGATTTGCCGTGCAACTTTTCCCCATCTAACCGCCTGTCAAGTAATGGTTCGGAAAAAAAATTAAAAATTTTTTGCCGAAAATCTCAGAGGGTCAAACCCTTTGGATTTTTCCGCAATTTCCCATTTTAATTTTTTTCTCGCAAACGAAGCTTCCTATCGAAAAAAGTTGTTCTTGGTAAAATCTCCGGCTGGCCACGCCCTGTCCACTGGCGCTCTGGCAGCTTTCCACACTGGATGGGTTTCGAGAAAATGGCCAAAACATGATTTTCAAAAAACTGCAATTATCTCCACAACCAGAGCAGTTGGAAGCAACCCAGTTGCACCAGTCGATAGAGCGTGTCAAGCGCTATAAAACAGCCGGTATTCACTTTTCCGCTAGGTCCAATGATAAGCCAGCAATTGCCCGATTTTCCAAAATCACGGAAAAATTTTGGGGAAAATTTCGAAATTTTCCAGAATCCTCCCACGTCCAATTACGGTCAAATATTGACATAGGAGCCGTTTACTGGTCCAAAGCGACTCTTTGCACCCAAAAACGACATAAAAACTGAAAATTTTTCCGGATGTTTTGCATCGGCATCTACATGGAAAATTTATTTAGAATCGCGCAGTTGCCCAAAAATACAGCAAATTACTGCCGTAAGGCTGGAATGAGCACCAAGATCGAGAACTCTCGACAGAAAAAACCGGAAATTTTTATATTTCCGAACCAAAAATTCGTTCGTTGATTAAAAAAAAAAACCTTCTGCCTCTAACAGCCTCTTGCAATTTTGCCATTCAAAAATCAAAATCCCACATGCGAGTTTTTCCAGCTCGAACGGTTCCTTTCGACGGAAGAAGTTCAGAAATATGCATCTATAAAGGGTTGCTCGGAAAACGGCCAAAATGTACGGGAAATTAAATTGCTGTCGCGGCCTCTTGCAGCGTTGCCATTCAGGGCCCAGTCAGCCCACATTTGTTTGACATTGTTGACACCGATGAAACTTTGCCGCAGGTAACCTTAGCAACTAGGTGGTGAAAATCAACAGAGGAGTTTATTCATAGGGCTTCGCCCCAGAGCGACCATGGCAGACTGCATTGAGGAGCTGCTGTTCTTCGACACGTTCGCGCACGACAGCACCGAGGTAAGCGGGCCTCTGCCCCCAGGCGCCCCTCTTTCCAACCGCCCGTTTTGCAGGAGATCAACTTGGACCTGGTGCAGTTCCCCAAGCCCGTCTATGTGACGGAGGTGCGCATTATCCCGCTGGGGGCGCGGGTGCAGGCCGACTTCCCGGGGGGCGTGCGCCTGGGCGCCACCAACCCCAGCCAGTTCGAGATCGAGTTCTTCGTGAACGACTTGGGCAAGCCGGGCGCCAGCACGTTCGAGGCCCTGGGCGCCTTCGCCTACGACCAGAATGGCAAAATCAATCTGGAGTGCGCCCCTGACCAGGCGGTGCGCCGCATCCCCACCGACGGCCTGGTGCTCAAAGGTACCTACCGAACCTGTTGAGTTCGCTCGAGTTCCAGCCGTGTGTTCCAGGGCTGTACACGACGATTACTCTGGCCGTTTACGGCACATTGACCAACAGTCTGGCGGAGCAGCTGGTGCCGCCCATCGTGAACCCCACGCTGCCCAGCCAGCCGAACACCATCGCGGACGCCCAGCAGATCGGCGCCACGCCCGAGGCGGAGTGGGCGCAGGACGCCCCGGGCGAGTACCAGCCGCCCGCGTTCCCAGGGTTCCACCAGGCGGAGCCCTACCAGTACCCGGAGTACTTCGGGGACGTGCCCAAGGACCCGCGCAGCTACCACCAGGAGCCCGAGTGGGAGAAGGGGCCGCGCCCCAGGGAGCGGTATCAGGAGCGCGAGCATTCCGAGCGCAAGGGGCGCTACGCCCGATCGGACAGCAGGGAGCGCGGCAAGGAGCGCCACGACCGGTGAGTTTCCCCAGGGAATGCGCAGCGACTGGGGCTGATGCGGGGGGTTTTAGGGAGCGCGCGGAGGAGTGGGAGCGGCACGGGGGGCGCCGGCACGAGGACGCCCACAGGCGGTACGAGAAGGAGGAGCGCAAGCGCCCCAGGAGCCCGCCGGGGCACAGCCCCAAGCGCCCGCACTCGCCCAAGGAGGCGGCGCAGCCCGAGGCA